TAGCACGTGGCTCTTTTTCGCTTTATAAGGAAGTAGGAGGAAATTGAAATCATTGTCCTGTTCCTTCAGAAATGGTCACCGGTTGGATAAAGCGTCTTGGTTTTGCGAAATCAATAACCGCAATTGGTTTGTAACTAGGTTGGTTCAATTTTGATCTCGGTTTGATTTCATTTCCAGCAATTTTGATGTCAAGGCTTTTAGTCATAACTTGACTAGGAGCAGCAACTAATACCAGAGGGTATTTGGTCACAAAGAGGAGACTCTCGACTCATGTATCGAGAGTATACCAGTAAGTTTTGTGTATAGATGGTTATACACATCGTACATATCACTTGTAGCAAATTTTTGGTCGATTTTGGTTTGGTCTCAATTTCAATCCCGGTCTCAATTTTATCAACCTTAGCTCGTCAATTGTGACCCATATCATGGTTGGTTATGGATCGTAGCTGGTCTTGCTTCCAACTTTAATTGGTCCGATCTCGGGTCGATTCCAACCCAAACCAACCTGGTGGCCATTGATTACTATCTTCTGCCATGTTAGATTATTTTTAGGTGAGCTTCTGTCTTGTTAGGTTTGACCCTAGCAATTAGCTTCGTCGGAGTTGGTCACGGGTCAGTACTGTGGACCTTGGTCAACATGCAAGCACAAATGGTTGAGAAAAAGTTAGGTAAAATATTTGCTACTTCAAATCAAAATTGAATAACTTTTTACTTTAGGCATAATAATTTTTTACTTGACACCACTTTATTTTCAAGGGCGGGAAATTAATTAAAATTTTAAAGATTATTTAAAAGATTCTTTAGTAGTTTCTTTGGATAAACTTTAATTTAAAAAAGTATATTGACAGAAGCATTTTTTTCGCATATCTTTATATCTTTTTTATTTTGATATTAAATTGAAAAAGATATCTCAATGAAAAGAAATTAATTAAGGAGATCATCCCATGAGTTGGGAATGTAACATGAAGCTATAGCAAGCATGAAAGTGAAATTGATATACTAAGCTAGCTTGGGATAATGTTGTGCAGGCATGTACAGAGATGATCATGCCAACAGGTGCGAACACAGAGGAGAGCATATTTCCAGCTTCCAACTGGAGCTATGCAGACAGAGTCTCTACCTGCAAGCTCCTCTTTGACATTCAACCTAGACCTAACTGGATCCTTACAGAATTTGGTGGCCACGTCAGTATATATTTACATATTTAGGCAATCATCATGCATTTTCCAAACAAATTAAACAAACCAATCCAACTTGATTTGAGATTAATTTAATTTTAACTGTTTTGGCAGGATATTGAGGTGGTCTTGAAGAGGTTTGGCAGCAATATAATCTTCTTTAATGGCTTAAGAGACCCTTGGAGCGGTGGAGGGTATGATCCCTTCCCCTTTCTCTATGT